CCGAGCTAGGGCTCAGACGACCAAAGAGCCGGCAAGTCGACGGAAGTCGGTTCGATTTTGATATATCTTGGCAGCATGCCCTGATGCTGGCAAGTGGATAGCAAATCTCGCATGTCCCCGGCGTATCCGCCTCTGGGGTGGGACGCCGTCTCAAATGGCCCAATCGATGCGGCCGTGTCGAGGACAACCCCTGGGTGCCCGCCCCTCGATGGCATTGGTTCGACCCCCGCTCCCCTTGCCTAGCCTTTGCCTTCGTCGTCTTCGTCATTTTTTGCGCTGGCGCTCTCGCTGGTGCTATTGATTCAGATTTGGACATGCGCCTACGGTGTCTCGGTACAAGCAGTTTCGCCCGCCACTCACCAGTGGGGGTGCTGGCGGGGCTTCCACGATGGCGTGCGTCGCGCTGTGTACGCTGCTTTGTTACCGGCGTGGGAGACTGCTACATGGGCATACGGCCAGACAGGCACCCAAGATGCTGGCAGTCGATGGCAGGGAGACACGGCAACCCTTTTCGCCAGAGTGGACAGCCAATCCCAAGCGGCTGGTTGGGGCGGCATAGCGTATGGGCCACAGGGCGCGGGATCACGGGTGTTACATGGCGAGGCGCGACAAGCATGATGAGCCAAGGCCGAGCAAGTCAATGAGCCTGGCACGGCATGGCATGGCATACTTTCAGAAAAGCGTGTCCCCCCACCCGCTCTGGCGCGAGTGCACCAGAGGGCCACACCGCCTATGGCGGTCGCCCGGCGCTAGAAGGACCAGGGGAATTGGAGGGGCGAGGGCGACGAGCTCGGGAGACAAGCAATGGCGGTGGGTGGCTTGACGAAAGCTACGTACCCAAGTTCGGTTACTTCGCGCCTCGTCTCGCTTCGCCCCTTGGCCAGGTGGACGCTCGCCCCCTGACCTGATCCCGTGGGCCGGCTACGAAAACGAGGCCGGTATCACCCTGGTCCGCTGGCTAGTGCCGGCCTCTGCTTGCCTTATTGGGCAGCTGCTCCTGGCCGGCCCTCCAAGTGGATGCCGCCATTGGCCACTCAATCTGAAATGCAGACGACCCCTGTCACGTTTCTTCCATGCGCTGTCCTACCCAACGCCTGCCTTGCACCCCTGCACTTTCCCACATCTCCACTCCAATTCCCCCCTGCCTTGTCCATCCCCCCCCTGTGACCCCTGCTACCCAACGGTCTGCTCCTGCCTTACCGTCCGACCGCTCTGCCACTTGCGCCTGCCCTTGTGCTGGCAGCCGTAGCACACACACATGCCACTGCTGGTCGCACCCCTCCCCCCCTTTTCGCCCTCGACGCCTGCGTTTTGTCTGTGGTCCTGCGGTCCTGCGCTGGGCCCTGCCTCCACTGTTGGCTCTGCTCGCTGCTCTGCCCATCCACTATTATACACGCCTCCCCAGCACTTTCCCCCCTGCCCCAGCCTGCCGAACCCCTTCTGCCATCCATTCATTCCATCAACTCTTGTCAAATCGTGCCCAGAGAAGCCCATCTGGTTTACTTTTTTTTTTCTATCACATTCGTTGCTCTGCACCGAGGAAGAAAAGGAAAGCGTCTAGAAGCAGCAGCAGAGTGTTGGCGCGCCAGCATCACACTCTTCATCCAAGCTTTTTCCCTCTTTCTCTCTCCCTCTCCCTCTCTCTCTCTCTCCAGAGGTACGCACACGTTGGCACCAAGTGCAACAAGCCCTTCCAAGTAAGGAATTGCGAGCACCAGACCGAAACGGCAGCAGTAGGCACTTGCCAGCCCACACCAAATCACACCCTGCTCCAACTCCCCATTCTTTTGGTTCAAATACCTTTCCGTACCCTGCCTGCTTGTCCATCCCCCGTGCCCCCTCCATCGCCCCCATATCCCGATCGCCCAATTCCTCGCCCTGGTCCCCCGAGCTTCCCTACCCTGACCAGTCGCCTCGGACGTTCGCCTCCCCCTTCACTTCGGCCTCGATTTCCGGGTGCCGTCCACTCCCCCTCGTCGTGTGGGCAGCAGCCTGACAGGTCCAGCCAGCTCTTCATCGCTGTTCTTTGGCAGACGCGGTACCTATCTTCCCCCCCGTCCCCCTCCTCCACTCCTCCTCCACTTTGATCCCAGACTCTGGCCACCCTCCCCCCCCTCTTCCCCTTGGGCTGGTGAGCTCTTCATTTCTCCGATTTTCTCGCAGCAGTACGCGAGAGTGGAAGCCCCTGTCATCTTGTATCAGCACGACATCCGATCTGGGTTTAGCACGCCTCACCCGTGCGATCCTCGTCGCTGCCAGGGGACGAACCCCATCAAACCTCCCCCGTCCCTGACAGTGTCATGGTCCCGGAAAATAAGAATACCGACGCGTCCTGTCTTTTGTTTTTCTTCCTCTTGTCGTGTCGCATCGAGTCGCAACATTCATGTGTAGAGCCAGGGACTAATAGGAACCGTCTCCATGCAGCATCACCCCCACCATCAGCAACAGGGTCAAGCACCTAACCAACATCTGCAACGGCAACCGCATCCCCAGCACCCGCGACCCTCGAGCGTGGTTCATCAGCAACACCATTCCCAGCCGCAGTCGCAACACCAACACCCTTCCGCCTACGCGCAAGGCCACTCCATCGCACCTGCCTACCACCAGTCCGCCGCTCAACCCAGCAGCGCACAGCATCCTCAAGACGGCGGTCTGCCATACTACACTCATCCGAGCCCCTACAGCACGCCCGGCGCGACCAGCGGATACACATCCGCAGGTGAGTCTCCATCTTGACACGACGACGCGTCAAGACGCGTTGTTTTGACCGTGGCCTCGGGGATCGCTAACGAGTCTCTCTAGACACGTCCGACATGATGGCCGCCGCTCAAATGCCGAGACCACCTTACCCGCCCATGTCATACCATACGCCGCAGTCCAACTCGCCTGCCTCTGTTGCCTCGCCCTCTCAGCATGATCAGCACCGAAGTATCTACGCGCAGCCTCCCTCGCAGCATCTTCAACAAAATATGTACTACCCGCCACACCAGCCCCATTACCCGTCGATGCAGGCCCAGTCCCAGCAGTCGCCCTACGCGCAACACACTGCACAGGCCCACCCGTCCATGCCGTCGCAGCAGAGCATGATGATGCCGCAGGGC